CTGGCTGAATTTAAGGGCAGCGATGTGTGGGTGTGTTAGAAAATGTTAGATATAAGGGAAGCTGAAATAAATACCTGTACCTATATAATTAAATAAATAAAACAAAATAAACTTAAATGTTGTCCTCTTATTTGAGCATACAGAGCAAGGTAACAGGAGATGGAATTGTACTGGATCAGTGATATGGAAAGTAGTGCAAAGGGTAAAGCGGATTGGGGAGGTAGACTACAAGCCCTGTGTGACGTATGACTGCAAGCCCTGTTTGACGTATGACTGCAAGCCATGTGTGACGTATGACTGCAAGCCCTGTGTGACGTATGACTGTAAGCCATGTATGACTGCAAGCCCTGTGTGACGTATGACTGCAAGCCCTGTTTGACGTATGACTGCAAGCCCTGTGTGACGTATGACTGCAAGCCCTGTTTGACGTATGACTGCAAGCCCTGTGTGACGTAATACTGCAAGCCCTGTGTGACGTATGACTGCAAGCCCTGTTTGACGTATGACTGCAAGCCCTGTTTGACGTATGACTGCACGCTCTGTGTGACGTATGACTGCAAGCTCTGTTTGACGTATGACTGCACGCTCTGTGTGACTTATGACTGCAAGCCCTGTGTGACGTATGACTGCAAGCCCTGTGTGACGTATGACTGCAAGCCCTGATTGACGTATATCTGCACGCTCTGTGTGACGTATGACTGCAAGCCCTGTGTGACGTATGATTGCAAGCACTGTGTGATGTATGACTGCAATCCCTGTGGGACGTATAACTGCAAGCCCTGTGCGACTTATATCTGCATGAAATGATGATCATGACTTGTTAGATTGGCAGTTTTATAAGACCTGTGTGAAATGGAGGGAGTCGCCGTGGTGGAGCGACTAGACGCTCGCCTGCAGATCGGAAGGTCGTGAGTTCGCTCCCTAGCGGAGCCGGACTTTTCAAAAATGACCTTGGCTCCCAGGTCGACCCGCCATAAATGGGTACCGGGTGCAGTCCCTGGAAGTAAAGGCGGCCTGTGTGATGCTGACCACGTCACCCATCTTGTGCCGATTGGTCTATAAAATATAGATCTAGCCCTATATGCCATATACGCCTAAAGGCGGGGAAAAAGGTCGTTTACTTTACTTACTTTGTATGTGAAATGGAAATAGAAAGGAGGATTTAGGCTTTCGAATGAGTTATTTAGAACACAAAACTAAGAAACGTGTCAGAGACCAAATATACAAATTTGCAGAAGAACAGGAGCCTTTCCTGGCAGTGGGGAAGTAAAATATCGCAAGCTACAGCACGTGGTGAGACATGATTCCATTGCAAAGACTTTTCTACCAGGAACAATTGGGGGGGGGGGGGGGGGGGGGGGGGGGGGCAGTCGAATAAAAGGAGAGCAAAGAAGAACCTGGAATGACAACATCAAGAAATGGATAGGATTTAGTTATCATACACTTAGCCATCAAGCGGTAGACAGAAAAAGATGGCGGGTTTTATGTGCTAGTGCTTCTATCGACACACTTCCTAACGGGTCAAGGGTTATGTTACGTTATGTTATGTTATGTTATGTTATGTTATGTTATGGCCTATGAATGTTGCTATAAATATCCTAATGGCCCCTTGACGAACAAAAGTTTCCCCACCCCTGTTGTAAGACATCAATTTATTCCTTCTTCTTCCTTTATCCACGTTATTCTAATACTTTTCTCTGATGCCTTGTAGTTTAAGAAACCACAATTAGGAAACGCAAATAGATGATGAGTAATGACTGGATTAGAATGTCCACTTGAGACTACGCTATTATCTATCCTCTGAGAAAGGACGGCATACTACAGCTAATAGATAATATTCATCTTGGCTTTCAAACGGTTAACAATACAAGTCATTAAGCAACCATTGTAGATGTCACACGTGGCGGCTTGTACAAGGGATGAGATGCACGTGGGTGTTAAGAGAAGATCCTACTCCTAGACGCTATAGATAGTTTCTGAATACAATTCTTATCATATTTGTCATCGTGATCATCATCGTAACCATCATCATCATCATCGTGGTATTTTGCTGTTTATGATTCACAAAGAGTTCCTAGTGTTCTAATTGACTCCGTCCTGTTATGTAGTCTTATCTGGTGGGGAAGTGCAGTCCAGCACCTTTGGTTTCTGTCACCACCGCTGGTCTTCGGATTTCTCGTAGGCATCTTTAGGTCACCAGTTCATGTCCTGTTTAGTTGACATAAAATATGTGTGTGTGGGAGCAGGGATTAAACATATTGTGTATGTGTGAGTAGACGTAATATTATATCGGCCTGTAAAAGGCAGCGATGATTAGACGCTCGCTAGCTCTCCCAAAGGTCTTAGGCTCAATCCAACTTTGACTAATTGTAATTGTATAGTTGACCCTGTCTTTAAGGTAGACCACCTGTAATGGGTAGCAGGAAATTGTGTGGGGGTCTGGGACCCCAGATTTAAAGGGGGGGGGGGGAATAGACTCACTGCACCTTACAAGCATGTCGTAAACGCTGACTAATTAAAAGTGTTTCCTTCCAAGTTGCAGTGCATCTGCATACAAATAAGCCTTTTGTGTAAAACGGATGTGCAGACAAAACCGAAATCCTGAAACAAGACTGGCTTAGAAGTGGACGAAGAAGCAGAACATTTCTCCGGAGTTTATACAGCTGGTGAACGCCACAAGAGAGAGAGTACAGCAGCTTATTTTATGTTGACCGCATCCTACATCCATTGCCAGCAGGTCTAAAAATATTAGATTAGCATCATTTACCCAATGCACCCATGCCATTTAGCAAGGCTCTTTAGAGTGTGTGTGTGTGTGTGCGTGCGTCTCTCTCTCTCTCTCTCTCTCTCTCTCTCTCTCTCTCTCTCTCTCTCTCTCTCTCAAACGACACGGGGGGGGGGGGGGGGCCTGTTGTACGAATCTATACTGTAGAAAACCTTTAAAGTTAGAACAAACATTATATCGTAAAAGTCGACCAATTAGGGGTGTCCTCCCAAGTCGAAATGTATCCGTCTGAGAAGCAAGGAACCAGCTATACAAATAAGCCAGATCTGTAAAACTATGTACACGTAAAACTTAAGTTCTTGAACAAGACAAAGTCCAGAAGTGGACGAACCGCCAGAACTTTCACAGTAATTTTCCGCAGAGAACAAGAAGAAGCGAAAATTTACAGCACAGAAGAAGACGAAGCGGAATTTACAGCACAGAAGAAGACGAAGAATTAACATTGAGCGATATGCAAACACAGCAATGGACTGCCTCAAAACATAATCATATGTATGTGTGCGTGCGTATGTGCGTGTATGTGTATATGTGTGTGTGTAAAATGAATGTTATCTGACGAAGTCACGGTGTGTTGAACGTTCGGCGCGGTGTTTAATTGAAAGCATCTGTCATGTTTGACTGGATAATTACTCGTTGCCTGTTTCTTTTAACAACTTTTGACAGAACGGGATGAAAGAAAGTCGTCATTTAAAAATAGTTGCATTAAACATGAAAGGTACTGATATCGGAAACAGATTGTGGAGTCAGAATTAATTAAAATGAGCCACGCTGTTGCAACATGCTGCGTTGCCAGGATTTCGTCTTTTGGCATTTTACATCTTCATAGGAACCACGTTGAACATATTCGATGTGTTCATGTATTTAATCTGTGACACACACCATAGTTGGGGGGGGGGGGGGGGTTGTACCTGCTGGAGGGCGGTGTACCTGCAGGAGGGCGGTGTACCTGCAGGAGGGCGGTGTACCTGCAGGAGGGCGGTGTACCTGCAGGAGGGCGCCAGTACCACCAGTATTCTTCAGTCCTGTAGTATTGGGAAAAGCGGAAGGACATGTGCACTCGAACGTTTCTGTGGACAACACCTCTCCCCTCCACCTGCAGAGTAAATGAATGTACGTATATGAACACACGTGCTCGCTTACGAATACACATGACAGACAGACAGGCAGGCAGATAGATAGATAGCCAGCCAGCCAGACATACATACAGACAGACAGACAGACAGACAGACAGACAGACAGACAGACAGACAGACAGACAGACAGACAGACAGACAGACAGACAGATAGATAGACAGACAGATAGACAGACAGCCAGGCAGGCAGGCAGGCGGACGGACGGATGGATGGGGGGAGAGAGAGGCAGATAGATCACTTCCCCTCTTTTCCACTCTCTTGACATCTCTGCTTCTCCATATCACATTCCCCCCCCCCCCCCCCAGTCAGTCTGTTTCTCCTCCTCTTTCTCCATCTCTCTTTCTCTCTCCTCTCTCCCCCTCTCTCTCTCTCATTATGTCTTTCCTATCTCCGATATATGGTGTACATAATGAAACCTTGAACATTCCTGTAACCGCTCAGGCGTAAGTGGGAAAAGTGGCGACTTTGATTGTGCCTGGACGGCTCTGGCTCGCAGTCTTGGGCCACTAGTTAGTTTCCAACTGGATTGCTCACTTCGACAGCCGTAATGGAAGAGGCTCATCTGCGAATGTGTTGGCACGCATCACACTGTCTACGACTGCCCCGAATCATTTATCCCTCTTGTCATAATGTAATGTACCGGTGATGGGTACTTTTTGAAGTTAGCCTACCCTCATCTCTCTATACCTATCTCTCATTGTGTCTATTTTCCCCTGTTTCTTTCTTTCTGTTTATCTCAATGTCTGCTATCCCCCCCCCCTTTTCCTCCCCCATCCCACTCTTTGTTATAATTACTGAACGTATATTTCCCTTTTTTTTTTAAAAATTGATCCAGAAACCATGATCTGTACTCACGTTGGCTCGGTGCTATGGATATCGCAACCCTTCGGCCTTGATTCCGTGATAGATACCGTAAAATCCGGAAAATATGTGGCTTTTCTGCCTATTCTCGAGCGCGAACACAGAACACAAGGAGTTTGTCATCCGGTCGGTTTAACAACTCGGCTAGCGCGCCGGGCTCATTTCCCTAAAAGTGTGCATACATATCAATTAAATTCTTTGTTTTCATATTATTCCTCAGGGATTTGACCCATAACAAACTGACGGCTATCACGGAGACCACCTTAGCGCACTTGACCACGCTAGAGACTCTGCTTTTGGACCACAACCAGATCTCTCGAGTGGACGAAGACGCTTTCAGGGACCAGGAGGACCTTCATATTCTGTAAGTTTTTTGTTTTGGTGTATGTCCCCTGTCTGCTGCTCTTTCCTTATAATCTCCATTACTGTCATTTACACTGTTTATATATATATATATATGGGAGGTAATTGTTTTTCTCCCTCTACCCTTTAAAATACAGTTGTAACATTTGATTATTCATGTTACGTTAGTTTATTACTTCTGAAAGAGAATAATACTAGAACGGCGTGGTTCTAGAAACGAGGGCAGGAGCCGACCAGCTCAAAGATGGGCACAGGGTATAATTGACTTGTCGGGATAGGAAAGGGTACGAGGAGGGAGAGACCGAGGTTCTTTTTTAAACTTTAGACAGGCCGTGACAAAAGCGATCTTCTGCAAAAAACATGCTACTCAGGACTTCTCAGCTAAGTTTACTTAGGGACCAAAATGATTAAATTGGGAGTCGTCACGGGCCAGCGACCCCATCCATAGCGTAGACAGGTCATGATTACAGTATAACTGACATTTAACTTCTGGCCGCTTACCGAGCTTCCGCGGGCCGTATACCTCTTTCTGCTTTCTTGTCACCAAATGTAACACCGTGATGACATCCTGACAGGGAGAGGAAAACAACTGCAGGCAGTAGGGAGACAATTTCGGCACACTGACACCACCTCTGCTGCTAACTCCGCCACCTATGTGTCTGTATGGACTCATCCCCCGACCCTAACACGGTCCGAGGGGGTTCCCTGTGCACGTGTTGGGGCCGATCTGTGTTTAAGCAACAAACATCGGGCAGCTGGGACCTCGCCACACAGGAAGTCACAGCTCCTCACGAAACCACAGGCGCTCTAGGGTCAGGTCCTCGCTCTTAAGAGACCGATTGACTCTTGTTTGGCGAGGCTTTAAAAAACGTGTGCATCGACAGCCGTGTCCAGCATTCTTTCGGATGGCTAGCTGTAGCAGCGGGGGGACACGGGCGATTGTTATTCTGCAGCTGGTACTGTCTCGCACCTGCAGTGTGGGTTGTATAATGTTGGGCTGAGACAATGACCGCCTGTCAGTTTGCTTGAAGAGGAAGATGTTTACTATATCTGAAATTATCTTTTACACGAAATACACTCAAAATGTCTCATTTTACACGAAATACACTCAAAATGTCTCATTTTAGATGAAACACACTGAGAATGTCTCATTTTACCTGAAACGCGCATTTTTCAACTGCCTTCAAAAGACTCATTAAAACCGAATTACTCTTTATTTCTTTGTCTTGTTTCGGTTTCGTTTCGACAGTGAAGGTGTGCTGTCAATAAGACAATTACATCTACTGCTATCTGTTGAAATATTAGGTCATGAGGCTCCAGTTCTCTTCCACGACATGACTTCTGCACCATCGTCTGAAAGCCACTAAAACAGTTCTTTTTTGTTTCTTAGCTCGACGCTGCAGGTTTACACACACACAAAAAAAGTATTGTATCTTTAATCAATTCCGCTCTTTCTGACGTCTGACTTCTCTAATTCATATGTGTATTATCTCTCTCCTAAGTATATTCTCAGCCCCCCATGTTTGAAGTTTGTTATAATTTCCAGGGGATTAAGTATATTCTCAGTCCTCTAATTCTGAGTGTATCTTGAGTTCTAATAGTTCTGGGTTTCTAAAGTATATTCTGATTTTTTCCTAATCTAATTGTGTTCTTATTCTTCATATTCTATTTCCCGAACACCCCCCTTCACTCGCCCATTTTAGATTCTAATTATCTCTGCGTTTTGCCCCATAATCGCCACATTTCTGTCTTCAATCGCCTCATTATCTATATCTCTTCTACACACACCACCAGGGTTATTTGACTGGCGGTCCGCGAGCCAGGTTTGGCCCGTGGATGTCTGTCAACTGGCCCGCTGATCATTTTCAGTTTATTACATTAATATCTTTTTTTTTTGGTTCCGCGTCTCGTGAAGATTCCATCCCCATTTTCAGAATGTTGGCCCTGGAGTTTGTTTGTTTTAGTATCCAGAAGCCATGAGTTGTTAACCCTTAGGCTCGGTATTAGGGATATCGCAACCTTTCGGTCTTGATTCCATTGTAAATACCGTAAATCTGGAAGAAATGTGGCTTTTCTGCCTCCCCCTGGAGTGAACCCGGACCACAAGGAGTTCGCCACCCGGTCACCGCGCAATCCGGTTTAGCCAACTACGCTAAAACCGGGCGTTGGCTCTGGCGTCAGCGTAGTTGAATCACCCTAACTACACTGTTTTATTCTGTGTATGTTCGCTTGCACGTGTTGTCGTTTGGCCGCCAGTGACTATTTCACACATTGCGTTGTCTGGGCTTTTTAGATCTTCCGAAGCTTTACTCTGTCAGATCTGTCAAATTAACCACCCCTCCCTACCTGCAGCAACGGTAACCAGACATCAAACGCTCTCAGAGGGGACCTCCACACACACTCACTGGCCGCTGACGTTTACCTGTAAATTAATGATACTTTTCGAAATGTACCCAGCAACGTGTCACAGACCTGTGGCCTGGCGAGGCCATGCTAATCCCGCGGGGTTTGGAACCTCTCGGCGAAGTTCTAACAGATGTAGCTGTCTACTCAGTGTGATCTTACATTGGCGGGTTTCAACTTCAGCAGCGTTCAGTTTGCTCGCACTGGCCAGGTCTATGTAGACACTGCAGTTCAAATATTGGCTGCATCTAGCCTGTTTGTATGCCTTTTTGGCACCTGTAGGTTTTGTAGTTGTTTTATCTTTCTTTCTTTCTTTCTTTCTTTCTTTCTTTCTTTCTTTCTTTCTTTCTTTCTTTCTTTCTTTCTTTCTTTCTTTCTTTCTTTCTTTCTTTCTTTCTTTCTTTCTTTCTTTCTTTCTTTCTTTCTTTCTTTCTTTCTTTCTTTCTTTCTTTCTTTCTTTCTTTCTTTCTTTCTTTCTTTCTTTCTTTCTTTCTTTCTTTCTTTCTTTCTTTCTTTCTTTCTGCCCACCTTTATCTGTATGTCTGTCTAGGAAGGAACGAAGTGAGGCAAGAACACTGTCCGTGATTCTGGTGATCGTGTGATTGGTGAAACCCGACAGCCAACGCTTATCCGAACGGCTGGCACGTGATAATGGGAAAGAACCACGGCGAGGAAGGGACTTTGTCCACATTCACCACAGTATCCTCTTGCTCCAGAATCTGGTGACGCATAAGACAGTGGACACCCACCACCCCATGGAGAGTTTCTGCCACTGTAGATTGCCTGTCTATATATCCCTGACGCAGATACAGATTGTATCCTTGACGCGCATCGCGGCCGAGGGCAGCAGCAGCCGCGTATGTGTGAAATGGATGTAATATAGGCCCGGATACTGGGCACATGTGCCAGCAGACATATGGTGCTGGGTCGGCGTCAGATTGCCCCGGAGTTGACTCAAACAGTACCTGCAGTGTTAGAATTGCCTGACATTTCGCAGCTCGTCTTGTATCTAATTATATGTTTACCAGAACGGGACCCGGGCGTCATTGTGAAACCAAACGCCGATGGCATCATTTCCAGCACGTGTCAGAAATCCCAGGTTGTTTTCTCCAAGTGGGCTGGGGGGTTGGGGAAGGAAAGGCTAGTCGTGGGCTGGGGGTTGGGGAAGGAGAGGCTAGTCGTGGGCTGGGGGTTGGGGAAGGAGAGGCTAGTCGTGGGCTGGGGGTTGGGGAAGGGGAGGCTATACGTGGGCTGGGGGGTTGGGGAAGGGGAGGTTAGACGTGGGCTGGGGGGGGGGGGTTGGGAAGGAGAGGCTAGTCGTGGGCTGGGGAAGGGGAGGCTAGACCTGGGTTGGGGAAGGGGAGAATATACGTGGGCTGGGGGGAGGCTAGACGTGGACTGGGGGTGTGGAAGGGGAGGCTAGACGTGGGCTGGGGAAGGGAAGGCTAGACGTGGGCTGGAGATTGGGGAAGGGGAGGCTAGACGTGGGTTGGGGAAGGGAAGGCTAGACGTGGGCTGGAGGTTGGGGAGGCTAGACGTGGGCTGGGAGTTTGGGGAAGGGGAGGCTAGACGTGGGCTGGAGGTTGGGGAAGGGGAGACTAGACGTGGGTTGGGGAAGGGGAGGCTAGACGTGGGCTGGGAGTTTGGGGAAGGGGAGGCTTGACGTGGACTGGGATTGGGGAGGTGGAGACGAGAAAAGGGCTGGGAGTAGAGATGAGAAGTGAGTTTGGGTAGGGAGAGTGAGTTTGGGTAGGGAGACGGGAAGTGGACTGGGGTTGCTCTGGGTGGGGGGAGGCGAGAAATATCCTGAAGTTGGAGAGGGCTGAGTTGGGCTGGGTGGAGACGAGAAATGGGCTGGAGTTGGGGTGGGAGCAGGGACGAGAAGTGGGTTTCGCAGGCTGAAACAGTTAAGTGAGCTGGAGTTGGGAAGGACAATATTACCGTGGGCTGGGGTTGCAACGGGAGTGCGGACGAATAGTGGGTTGGAGTTGGGGTAGGAATGAAGAAGAGAAATAGGCTGGGGTTTAGGAAAAACAGGAAAAAATGGATAACAAAACTGCCAGCTGGCATCTGGAGGAGGGGGGGGGGGGAAATGTACCTTCCTGACTGTCTGCATTTATTCCCTTGTCTGTTTCTTTGTCTCTACAATTATTTGCTCACATCGCATCATTATCCTCCACGACGTTCTCTTTCATTCTTTCACATTACAGTTGCAAACACGTGCTCGCCTGTTTGCGTGCGCTTTTTCTGTGTGCCATAATTGGCTATCTGATGACAGTCGCTAATACTGTAGTAATCTGACATTTTGAACGGGTATCACAGCGTGCAGTTGGTTTAAAAAAAAACACCATGAATTAATTGCAAATTACAACCTATAGCGATATTTAAAACCCCGTACACACAGAGCCACTGCTAGCTCCAGTGGGCGTACATGTAGTTAGCTAGGAAAGTAGGTCAACGGGCCATAACTGGGAATTTTTACATGAAGGAGTTGCGGCCCCTTTCGATACTATCCTGACGAGGTAAAAAGTCTTCTGTGCTGTCTATTGAACACACGGGAACTATTAATTATACCTGTTTGAGAACGACAAACACCCG